CAGTTTTGAGTAGGCCTTCCGTCAAAACATATCATATTCTGGGTAACTAAACCAGTGAATCTAGAAAAGTGACTTTTCTTTCAAAGATCTGATTTCAGTGTACCGAGTTATGCAGCGTATTTATCTCTTGATTCCGTGACATTATATTCGGAAAAACTGAAGAAAACACATTTTGTATGATTTACTTCTAGTGGTAACCATCAGTCAGTTATCACAGTGCATCTCTACTGAAAGGATATCAACTATTGGACCGGATGAAGTGTCCGAAACTGGCTTATTTCTTTACTGATTTTGACTTTTTTGTCCTACACTATTGGGTGTTAATGAGATGGTTTACAATGCAATAGGTAACACAAACATTATTAACTATCGCTGAAACTGCAATAGGTTCAATCTTAACCTTGTTAGAAATCACCCACAATAGACTTACATTTTTAGAAGACTAGAAATATGCGGTAAACAGAAATAAGCACCTTTTCCCTCGTGCTTCCGTATGATTCGGAACGAAATCGGCGAAGCGAAAAATCAATATGGCTGTAAGTCCTATGAAGATACTGCTTTAATCTGCACCGTTCAAGATGCTGTAGAACTACCTGAGACATAAGTATTGTAATCCTGAGATGTCGACATTTTCATTCAATTAGATACACGTTTTATTGTACACAAAATATAAGTATGCTCAGTGGCAATCCAAGCAAAGCGGGCATTCAACAGTTGTGCACCAATGAAGATAGATAACGAAATCTAGAATAAAAACGGAATCTCATTGTTAATAAAATTTCTTTCGCACACAATGTCCTGCTCAACTTCCTTTAACCCTGTCTTTAAGTTGTTTTGACTTTTGAGTCACATTAATCACACTGTGTGAAAAATATTACACCTGTTTAAACAGTTCATTACGTGAACAAGTCATCATGCCGATTCTACAGTTCAGACTACCGCACAAGATACAAGTTAGCACTTTCTCAAATCGGCTTGTGATTTGAAACACTTTGGTGCTTGTGTCTACACAGACAAGGAATTGCAATGTACTTTATCTGTCAAACATATGCTATGCTTTTAATCGAAGAAATTTTATGCGAATGTTTATGATTCACTCCGGTAAAAAAGCAGAGAGGGATTTCCCGGCTTTCTTATTCTGTATTTATCTGTGCCAACTGTTTTCACCGATGTCCTTTTGTACCGCGGCCATATGAAAGAATATGGAATGAATGCATCTATCCAATCATGTATTTGGCTGATACGAGCATCGTCAAACGAGAAGACTATTGTCACTTATACAACCGAGTAGTTTGTTCAAGGTTTTCATATATTCACGCCAGTTCCTGGAGGTAACCAAATGGAACTCTTCAGCGCATCATTCACAAACCAGCTACTTAGAGTTATCCTTACTTGCAAGTCGCAAGCTTAGCACAAATTGATAATAATAATAAATTAATCAGTTTCAGTTTTAGTTTGTACAACCATTAACCATGCACTTTCGTGGGCCGGTTTTGTTTGCTGTCTTTTGGCCGCTCATTTCGATGAACAGTAGCAGGGAGACAGGCTACTGCCTGCAGCGGAAAATAGTTAATACTGGTGAAGCCCGCCCCGTGACGTTTGAGATACATGCCAAACCACTGCTACCTATGAGGGTTGAACAACGGCTTAACCTCACAATGGCAATGATTTAACGCCCTCTGTCTAGCCTTGGTTATATTTGAGAAAGGTGACTTAGACAGCAATGTTCAAACACTGATATTAGATACTCATGTTCAATTTGCAATGATCATGTGTGTGTACTATACAGTGAAAGTAGATTTACTATCACTTTGACCTAGAGGGATAACCGAAATTCGCCGCACCTTGTATGGCAGTTAGTGGTTTATTCAGGCAGCCAATTCCTTGACAAACAACCACCGTTCTTTCTTATTTGTTTCCAAGACGCATAATTTGCCCAAAGGAATGTAAACAGCAGCTCAGTATATATATATATATATATATATATATATATATTTAACACCGGTTTGTAGACAACCATGGTGCCAACGTCACAAAAATAATAACAATAACAATAACAGGGAGCAGGTGGAATGGAATGCAGAACAACATTGGAAGAAGGTGAAACAGATAAAATGGAAAATGTTTCATCGTACACTTTTTGATATTTTGTGTGTGATCTTTTGATCCCATGTGGACTCAAAGTTATCAGTTTCGGATTCTAAATCTGCTGTTTGATAGATGCTTCCTTTGATTCTCTCAATATCCCCGTTCGGTTCGCTGAAGATCCTCTTGTTTTCATACGCCGAGTATTCACACAAGTAGTACGTTATACAATTAGGGGCATACCACTCTGTACGTTGGCCTGCTGATTTTTTTCTGGTTATGAAATCTGCCTAGACCTCAAAGGTTTAACATGATTTTACATTGTTAACACAGTCCTGATTTCTAGATTCTGTAGACCGGGGAATCCATTGTTGTTCACATTTCCATTGTATTAAGAAAATTACCCATAATTCACAGCTGGATGGAAATAAATATAAACTTTTCACAGTTTGTTCCCATTCACCTTCGATCTTCCATTTTGTGTAACCATAGAAATAATTAGGTTGAAGCGATTTCATGCTCCATATTCTAGCTGCTAAAAGCAAATGTTCTCTTCTCATCTCACCTCAACGCAAACCAAATTTCCTGATATTTCATGCAGGGAACAACTGAGAGAGAGCAAAACACTACCCGGTTATCTCTTTCCTGCATGCTCTCTTTTCCTGTGGTACACATTTTCAAATCACTGAGTGATTTTCACTCACATTTTCGAACCCATTGTATCCATTGATGCTTTGTGTGCAGTTCAACGGGAAATTGAATGGGTAAAATAAAATAAAATAACAAATTAATACTCATATTGCTGGAGAAGAAATGAGGTGAGAAAAAAGTGCAGGTAGTAAATTTAAAGCTAAGTTGACGCACAATGTGGTTTCATCATTTTTGTCAAAAATTGTTTAATCTAACCGGAGTGTTTGGTCAACCTCTCACTATACTGCTCTTTTGAATTTGCCTCAAATTGCAACAATCAACTACGTAGGCTGATTATATATATACATATATACATATACATATATATATATATGGGTACGCTTTGGGACCTATAATAGTATAAGGTGAACAACTTACGAAGCAAGTTGCTTAGGTATGCTTTCCCTGCATAACTTTTATCATGGATCTGTAGTTTTCCCAACGAACACGACCCGGGTTAAGAGAGCCGTTCATAGCACATACTGGATAGGTCTCTCTCTACGTCATTCAAATTTTTGATTAAAAACCTCTTTTCTTCCAATTCCGACTTCATCCACGTATTCTATGTTGTTGTTTATCCTGCTCACATTCTCGAACTGCAGTCGCAATATTCCTCGTAATCAATCAAACGTGTTCACATAAATGAGCTCCAATATCGACTGAATAATAGTCTGCAATCTATTTGTGTAACAATTAGCACTTTTAAAGCCACTTATCTGTTCGTTTCTCCTGAAGGGGATACCTAGTGCTCCAGCCCCTACTTCCAAGATTCCTCTCACTGCTTCACAGATTACGATGGTCTTCGTGAACTTTATTCCTTGAATCCCTCTCGTTCTCTCTCTCTTGTGAACTTCGCCTGCAAACAGACTCATTTTATGTATTCCAAGGAGATTAGTGTTCCTTTCTGGATAGAGATGTTTCACACCGTCCCGATTCACACTCCCAAACAAAGCTCAAAAACGACCCACTGCTTACTTTGGCGATCACTTATTTGTTGTGGATTTTTGTTCACTTCTTCGCCTATTCTTCATTGTGTTTGACAAAAGGCTATCCTTCTTACGCACTCCCGGTCTTTTGTTTCACTTGCCGATCTTCCATTATTACCACCACAAAAGTCGTATCTGCATTTCCAACGACCCTCTTGTTCAAACGCACAACGTGCACACAGGTGGAAAGTCTTTCGTACTAAGTGAATCGATATCAACTGGAAACGTGGTAGGATGGATTGTTTCATATTGTGCTCTCTAAGCACTTTCGATCATTATTTATCTTCAGTGCTTGTGAGTTTGTAAACTGTTGAAACATTCACAACAGAGGTTTAGATTCTAAACTATATTCCAAGAAGCTTTCTTTTTCATTGATTATTCTACCGACTGTGATGCACAACCCGATATACCTCTATGCTCCGATCAATGAAAACGAGTTTCGTCACAATTTGTTATTTTCTCTCGCATGGCCTTTAATCAAATAACACTTTAGCTTTTATCTCATATACTTCAATGTCGTGCAGTCCTGGCCGAGAAAATCTACACTCTGTGATACATTACGATACATTACTGTCTTCCTGCGTTATGCTTGTTGTCATGATGTTGTATGTGTCTTTGAGAGAGAGAATTTGTCTGAATTTAGTGCAACGTTAACTAAGATATTTCGGAATTGAGGTCTGTTATCTAGTGTATTGTTTCAAAAAACCCTTTTCTGTGGCAGAAACAAGTCAAGAATATGGCAAACAATTTGAGTCCAGTGTAACCTTTTATATTTCTAAAAGCGGACATCATCAAACCCTTCACAAGCACTGATGATTTCACCTCGGCTGTTGATGAAACGTTTGCAAACAAACTGCCAAGCTCGGCGAACAGGCGAAATGGAATTCAGTTCACCCGAGCTACGAGAACCGCTTTTCAATATTTTGTCAAACCCTTTTCATGTTTTGAAATTCGTATAGATTATTTTTTCAAGACTGATCGGTGTTCAGCCGAATCAGTGATTGATGGGAAACTGCTCAAGTGCCGCTCAGTGCTGTATGTACCTTACTTCATCCTTTTTGCCTATTTGGATGCGTTTAAAATCAAAAACTTAGCAGATTCCAACTCATTTATATATCACACCAACTTAATTCTAACAATGAAGTTTTCATGAACATATGTATTATAATAACGCTGTAATAAACGCATCGCAATGGGGATAGTCAAACCTTCAAATGACTGGTTAAACAAGAGACTCACTGCGTCGTCGCAATCTCATCACGCACTTGGTCCAGAGAATCCAGAAAGAATGCCTCCACATCAGAACGCTGTTCGAGTACACGATTGGCCAAAGCATACACACGAGCAGCGCGTCTGCGTTCAAGTTGCAGAGCTCTGTTCAGTTTTGCAGCAGATCTCTGCGCTTCTGATTCGCAACTGTTTGTGAACTGAACAGCCATTATCTTAAATAGTGAAAACTCCTGTTCCGTACACTTCAAAGCTTGTTCCAGTTCAATTATTCGTTGTGAATTCTGGGTATTCAGAAAGCGTAGAACGTTATGGTTTGCTTGAGACAGCACAATACACGTTTCACGGCACCCCACAGAAGATTATAAACTATGAATTTATAAAGGGCGAATAAAATTTTGCCTGATTTTCCGGTGTTCTTACTCGTCGACTGCATGTTTTCTCATTTTTTGAGTCAGAAGGATTACTTCGACGATGAAGATGGGGTATTAACTTTAGTCATTCAAACGCAACTACTCATAGTAGTATGAATCGATCTGAACTTTTTTGAGTAACTCATTGGATTCAAAAGAATCTTGGAATCAATATGTTCTAAACTTGACAAGTACCAAGTTAAAAAAATAGTTAAACTTAAATCACTATCAATTGGATGCGAAATTTTTCTAAGAAACAAAATAAATAAATATTACTTTCAAACGTTTTCTTATTCCCGCAGAACTGAGAACAATAACAGTGTGCCGAACAAACTCTTTTTCGTTTGTTCGTAATCATGCCACTACATAACATTAAATATGACTAACAAGCACAAACGGGGAATCAGAAAGTCGAGTTCTGATGGTTCAGCTCCGGCTCCAATCATCAGTGTTCTTATGTGAAATTAATCGCAGTGTAAAAAGTTCAATTGATTGCACACGTGTTGGAGTGGATTGAGTGGGCCAGGGGATATTAAGTGCTTGCACGAATTTCTTCTTTGCGCACAAGGAGACAGGGTATGAATCCGAGTACTTGCGACCTCAGCCGTGGCTGCGATACGATTCTTCATTGTTCTTGATCGCCTATATTAGGACAATTAGGAACGTGGTGCGTTCGCATCTCATTGAGTCAAATCACTCGGTGTATTTGGCGAGCGCGTTTCGATTAACTTAAAAGTCTCAATGTAGTTATATTATATTGTAGCATGATTAAAAATAAACAAAAAAGAGCTTTTTATCACGCTGTTGTTGGCCTAAATAATATTTTGTTGAAACTGTCAGTTTTTCTAGAAACAAGGTGATGCTTTACTAACTCCCCGCCTCACAGATCAATTTATGTTAATTAAACAAAGGCCAGAACCTCGTGGTTCAACCCACCGAAGTGTATAACAAAACCCGTTGATTGGTGTTACGGTTCAGTCAGTGTTTTTCACAGTGAGAGTCCGCGACTGTTTCATTCAAATAACTTTTGGGTGTTCTGTCTGTAAGTTCTGTTCGGATATTTTATTTTTGTACCTCTAAACTGACTCATTCAATTCACTAACTACTGCTTATTTTCAGCATTATTGAACCACCAAGATAAAGAGAGAAGAAGATATCCATATTTGTGTATCCGGCTGCCTCATTCAAAAGAAAGTGAAGTCCGAAGTGCTTCAGAAAAATTTATGCTTTTATCTCATTTCAATTGTCGAGTAAAATAGCATTATATGCTGTGTGTTGACCAGTTGGGGTTATTTTAAAATCATACAAAGTAACACAGTGAAAACAAATTGTAATTGTGGTATCACTTACCGTTTTAAAATAACTCCTGTGGAATGCTAACTAATTATAACAGAAAGAAAAAATAATAATAGGAAATTTTTCTAGATCGGTTTATTTATAGTATCCCGCTTTAAAATGTTGTGATAAACTTCAAGCTGATTTACTCAATGCAGACCTGTATGTCTTTGCTGTTTGATCGTCCAGTTCTCAGCTCCATATGATTTTTTTTAACCTAGACCCTAATGTATTCAAGGTAACTGGGTAGTACAATAGAAGCCCCTTCAGGAAGCTCCAAAGAAGAAGCTGTTTATCAAACTGCCATTCAAGGGCGATGACCTGTCTCATTTAATTATGAGGCATTTGGAACCTGCCGTAAGAGGCTCATTCATAATGAGAACATCCAATAAAGACATTTTACCTATGCTGGCTTCATCTATGGTTATCGATTCCTTCAGCTGCGTTTGTAACACAACCTGTATTGGCCGAACGGCGAGGCAACTGTTCCAGCGGATTAAAGAGCACTGCCCAAGCTGGCTTCAACATGATGGAAAAGGTGTCAAAGGAAGCACTATTATCGCCTAACTAGCATACTCAGGTCACCAACTGATATATCGACTACCACCTTACCCATCCAAGTCGCTGAGACTCCGTACCCTATCCACTGCAAAATTGATCGACATTTGTTTGTTCACACCAGATCTATGTGCATAGAGGATATTGCCCCATGCTATTCAACTGCTGTGGCCGAAGATCGATCGCATGGGGGACGCGTTCCAACCTAATTGCAACTTTGTGGTAACCTTGTGGTGTGAAATGCGTCGTATAACTTAGCCCTAATCCCTTTTCCTTTCAACAAACCACTAAGACTTTTAATGGGTGAATTTCTATCCTTTTTCAATATTCCATTTATTTATATGACATGCAAATAAGATGAATCAAAGAAAATGATTGCTTGCCTCTGAACCTGTGTTCTCAGGTCATAATAGTACAACACACTGCACTACTACAAACGTGTTCGACATGCGAACGAACATTGGCATAATTTGGCTTTGGCCTAAATCAACAAACTCACGTGAAAAATTTTGAATGTCCATATTTCCCACTTCACAAATTACTCTTCCACTCAGTACAGTGAGTCAAATCTGTGTTACTAGGGTTGAAAATTTCCTTTTAATTTTCTCGCTGCTTGCCGTAATGAGCGATAAATTTACACCAAAACCTAAGTGACGCAATACCATCTATATGGAGGCATGAAAAGGTGTTCACTACATAAACATCATTTTGGCACATCAACGGATTCGAAGTCACTGCAGAAAGCTGAAGGTAACTAAGAGCATTGTAATTTAGTAAATAAATCAAGTGGTTTCCTTAACGTTCTGTGAGCAAACTTTCACTTTGCACCTACTAAACCTTCTGGAGATATTAAAGTAGTACTATGAATGAGCTCATGAGTGCCATTCATGTACTAGTTATTATAAAAACACTGAAAATTGACCCTAGCATTGAGTTGGCCGATGTTAGATGGATCTAATCCATAACAAGTAGTACAGAATCATTGCAGTGATTATTTGAGACTGGTTTTGTGCCAAATCCATCCTTAGAGCTGCAAATTAGTCTGCATTGCATAACATAACAAAGCTATTTCCAGCACTAGAATGTATAATTTTCTTTGATGTTCTATCTTTTGATCATGTTAATGGAGATTGGTATGTCGGTTTTTATTTACATTTATTTGGTAAACAACCTAGTCAGATACAATAAATTTCCAGTAAAGTTTAAATAAAGGAACGAGATCAAAAAGGAATAAATTTATGTTATTTCCTCAATATTCCATGATTCATCCCAGGTACATGACATAACTAACCGAATTTTGACTCACCTCTGAGAGCTTTTGTATAGCACACTTGTAGTCGTTTCTTGCTTTGTTGAGCGAAGAATCCAGTGTTTTGTTTTCAGTTACTAGGCACTGATTAGAATTTCTTAACTCTGCGGAGTTGGCCAAAATAATCCTTGTCTGTTCTTTGAAATGCTTAAGTAGAATTCGCATCTCCACATTTTGTTTATAAACTGATTTCACAGAGCATTGCAAGTTACTATTGTGAATTCCAAAGTAAAACAATATTCGAATGCTATTGCTTACGTCAATGCATTCTTGTGAGCTTCAAGTGCCAGAATTCGAATATTCCGTAGGGCTTCTTGTCTGATCCTCATCTGAAAAAGTTTAGATACGAAAGAGCTATGTTCCTCATGGTGCTAATATAACACACTTTCTCATCGAAGAACTTCAACTCCATTTGCTCCAATAGTTCGCCTTTTTCTTTCTCTTCGGTTTCTAATTCTCTTTTTAACTGAAAACTTAATAGATGTCATCACAAAATTCAACTAACATTATGTAGATCTTCGCTATATTTATCCCGTTCCTTAGCGAAATCTTGCAAGTCGCATAAACTCTTTTGTAGTACTTCGATATCTTTATCTCGTTGATGCAAACTTTTTTCCATTTCCTGAAGACTAAACTCAAGTTTTGATACCTAACGAGGGTGTAAATTAACAATTTGAAAAGATGAATGTTAATTTACGATTTCTTCCTTTTCGTGTTTTTCTTTTTGAACAATCTGACATAATTGCATTCGTAAGTTACAAATCTCAAAAAAGGAATAATATGGAATTATAAAGATTTTCCCACTTCTTGATCCTTCTTTTCTTCCTTTGTTTTTAGAAATGCAAAGACATCTATATTATCTCTTTCATTTCGCTCCAGTAAACCACAAACCGATTGTTTCTCTTCACTCAATTGCTTGATCCGCTCCCTGAAGATATAATCATGTGAATTTTCGGGCATACTGTAAGTCTCTGTTGATTTTCTCAGATATATTCAACTTATTTTCCCAGATGGATGCGTTATCCTTAGAAATACGCCTNCCTCCAGCCGTTGATTTCTCTTATCATTGCCTTTGCTTGAAACTAATTTGTTTTATTAATGAGCAAACCTCTTTTTATTTCCACCTTTCTTTTCCTTGAGACCTTTCTTTTTCGACTTTTTAGGCATTTGAAAAATCTCAAGGTCGTTTCCGGGCTTTTATAAAATCCATTGGTCAGTTCAGTTCTCACAGGACGAATTGTGGCTCTTGCCAATCGAGCGTCCAGATTAGTGTGTTGTCGGCGAGTTTCCTTGCTTCCAACACTTCGATATGCAATTTTTCTGGAAGGCAGAAATATGTGCACTTGTGGCTTCCAACACTGCGAGTCAATAGGTTTTTTCTGAAAGGTAGAAAGTAAGGTGCAGTATCACGTCCTGGGCAATGGCGCTCAGGAATAATAGTTACTTACCATCAAACGCTTCAGGGAAGGTCAGGATGATGTGTGGCCCGGGCCAATCTTGCGTCCAGATTGATGTGTTGTTGGCTGTCCTACAGGACGATGTGTGGCCCGGGCCAATCTTGCGTCCAGATTGATGTGTTGTTGGCTGTTTTTGTGGC